GGGGGAATACGTATTGGATAAAAGTAGACGACTTTAACGATAATTAAGGCGAACATTAACGTATTATAATCGAGGATAGAAAACTATAATGCGTATCATTATAATAGGCTTCTTCCTTCTTGACAATATTGACACTAACCTGCACATTAGCAATAAAACTTGCTGCCGCAGGACCAACTTATTCTTCTGCGGGGAGAAAAAAAATCAACCGGTCAGAATCTCTCATTTCTGGTTCCGTGAGACTGTCGATCGTTCTCTATGAGGCTTCTACGTGTGTTCTATGTGTTCGCTCTTTCCCACTTTTTAGTCTTTCTTTTTTTTTTTTTTTTTTTTTTTTTTTTTTTTTTTTTTTTTTTTTTTTTTTTTTTTTTTTCGTTTCGGCAAGGAGTACCCGTCGTGCACAAATTTAACACGGCGGAACGAGCTAAATTTGGTCAGGACACGTCGAGCCACGATCTTTCGTTAACAAAAATTAACAATATTTCTTCGTTGCCACTCTCTCTCTCTTTCTTTCTTCTTCTTTCTCGAAGTTCAATGATCATCGCAGTACAATTGTCAATCAGATTGATTTAAGCAAGTTAAGAGATTGGAAAGAGGGACAAAGAAAAAAAAATATGCAGAACATTTACTGCGTCACTGTGCATTCCCATAGGATTACCGTTGCAAGGATACTCTTGCAGTGAATTGTACGATTCGAAAAAGAAATATTTTAAAAATTGGGATATGAGAATGCAGAGTAACCATATAATTCACATAGAGATCAACGTCAAAGTTCATCTTTGTAGATTGATACCTGTTGCTGGTGCGCGAGGGTTTGCTTCATGAGGACCATCTTGATACTCTGTTCCATAGCATATTTCTTAGCCCTGGTTACAGTGTCCTGTTGTTCAGAAGTGATCTTTGGGAGGGCGGCACCCAGGATCCCAGGCAAAGTAAGATACTTGGCGCCAGGGCCTTAAAAAGAGACAAGACAGAGAAATATAAGAATTCAAGAATCACCATAAGCTCGTAATCAAAAAGCTAAAGAAACATTCAATCAGATCTTATCAGCTAAAAGTCCACGGTGCTGGAATCGACAATCGAGTAAATCTCAACCGATGCGACTCTACAGACTTTTCTTTTAATAAAGTCACATAGCAGTTTCCTACATCATGTTTGAATGTAACTTACCGATTATATTGTAATTAATAAAATGAATAAAGTAATCCAACTCACCGGCAACAACCTGTCCCGTCTGATTGAGATCATATATGGGTCCAGGCAGAAACTCCGTGGCGCTTCCTATAAAAGAATATCAAATTAATCCAATGATTCTTGCTGAGGATTCTACCACCGTGTTTACTTCCACCGTCGGATGGGTGTGGGGCGGGGGTCGAGATATACAGGGTAACAAAAGAAAGATGTAAGGAGAAAAGATAAGCTTCGTTCTTCCAGGTTTCTCATCTACGTGAGGACCCCAGGGACATATGAGGCATCGGCGATGACGGTGGAAGTGTATACGGTGCCAACGATATAAGTGATAACACATTGCGATGAAGGAATGCTTTTGCGTGCTATGGGAATGTCGTTTGTTTTTCTCTTTTTTTGTATTCATTAAAAATCCATGTATCTGAATATTTGTGGGAATAGGACGTTGTCTGTCTCTCTTTCTCTCTCACAAAAGTCAATGAGGACAAATGAGAAGGTTTCTCTCACATAAATTTATGGCAATGAAACTTTACGTTAATGAAAATTTTTACTGGACATGAGCGAGAGAGAGAGAGAGAGAGAGAGAGAGAGAGAGAGAGAGAGAGAGAGAGAGAGAGAGAGAGAGAGGAGGGGAGGGGAGGGGAGAGAGGTAGAGAGATAAAGTAAGGAAGTAACAGAAACAAAGGCAACAAACGGGACGTAAAGAATTAATTTGCAAGGACGTCGCGCGCAGAGCAGCTTCCGCTTTTATCCAGGAACTTCCGCCAAACTGTAAGTTTAAACAAATTAAAAATGTCAAAGACAGAGCAGCAACGGATGACAGTTGGAATTTTTATCGAGGAAGATTAGACAGAGAAAAAATATATGTATATATATAAATATATCCCGTTTCGACTATGAGGGTCCGTGTTATCGAGTAGCCACCGAAGAGGACATTTATAATGCAAATAAAGAAGTGAAAGTAGCTGCAGGAAAATTATGTTCAGGACGACGACTAATGGTGGTATCAGTCAGTGACTTCCTCAAGAGCACGAACGTACGTATAACGGTGAATAAAAGCGAGCAAAGTATTATAATCTATTATAGACACTTCGAGCCGGCGCGCTTTTATCCTATAACTAGATTTCAGTGGGAGCGTGACCAATTCGTACGTAGGGCTTAGGACATTCTGAAACAGAAATCAGAACACGTTTTGGTATTCGTCGAGATTTCTCTGTTCCTTTTTTAACTTTCTGAATTAAGAGTCGCACGTAGTTTAATACGAAGGGCCACGAAAGAGCGAGTGGACGGTCATTTCATGGATCACAGGGGAGGACAGTAGCCCTGGAAAACCTTTCACTCTCGAGAAACTTGCAAAAAGAAAAAGAAAGTAAGAATACAAAAAGAATAAAAATTAAAAGATAATTCACATTAATAATGGTCCGTTGAGTGTACAGTTCTTGTAGAGGATTTAGATATCATCTTAGAATCTTGCTACTGTCATTGTATCCTTAACGGTACCACTTATTGAAGCAGAGTATCTCAAGGTATTGTAGAACAATGGATTTGATTATGGTATTTAATTTTTTTTATTGTCCTCGTGTTCATTATCAAGAGGTTTTGGTATCAAGAACGGCTAACCGTGCTTTCGGGGCCGAGCAATGAAGGTAGCACGCGTAAATTATCCTGCGAGACTGAGGCGACGCAGAAATCTGTAAGCACAAAGCAAAGGAGAACACTCTCAGTGCGTTTTTCTTTTGTTTCTGCGCCAATTCTTTAGGTGCTGCCTTATCCAACCTAGCCGAGATGTTTTCAATGAACGACTAAACCCTGTCACGCTAACGCAACAGCAGTGGCGATAGCCGTTTTCTTGAAAATATTTTTTTTAGCAATTCATTGATGGGCCTAACTTTGGTCCCAAACATTTATCAATTATATTTCTTGTAGCTATTGTTAAATAATTGCTGGAAATTATAATGAGACACGTCACGCATCGCCACTGCCTTTTCTAAGTACGAGTCTCTTAGATATGAATTGCTGCAATTATGGTCCTGTGAATGATTGTGATTTTGTAAAATGAATGGTCAAGAAAACTAAGATATATACTCTACAGTTTAAGGAGACTCGTAGTTAGAAAGACTGGAAGAAATGTAGCTACCCTATTGTTGAATATGCTGACCTATCTAAAGAGAGACGCGTCATCGCGAGTACTTGGGGTACTCGACGAGTTACATAGACGCCATTGTGCGTGTCAGTGGGAGCTTTTTGGAAAACTCAGATCTGTTTTTCTGTTTCAAGGTTATTGTAGCGTTTTCTCTTTCATTGTTTGGCGCACGCTCATGATCGCAGCTCAGTCGAAGGCCAGAGATTCTGTACTGTCTCTCTCTCCGCTGTAACATCTCAGAACAGAAGGACAACCATACATTAGTTTTATTCAGGGCCAACGGTCGCCTAGAGTAACCCTAACCCTATGCAAGTACAGTTCAAGGTACTGCACACAGTTATTCTGTTTCTCTATTTCTCTCACACACTCTCTTTCACTCTCTGTGATTACTCCCCTAGCTAATTATGTTACAGAGATCAATGGTTCAACTTTTGTCACACCGCTCTTAATGCCTGCTTTCCTTCGTTAAATTATATCAACGCCTCCTGCAATCTTTCCAGTTTTTCTGCTCTTAGTTTTTTCTCTTTTTTTTCTACGTATTTTTACTCACTCTCACACTTTCTCTTGGTCTGTTCGTTAGTTTGTCGGTCTGTCTATATGCTCTACTTTAAATAGAGCCTTCTTAAGGTTAACGCATATTATTTGATTTGATTATATGGCAGCTTGCATTAGCAATGTACCTTCAACACGGGCCTTCTTGATCGGAGGTTCCACATCATTTTGGGCTGCTGGTGCCTGAAAATAGTCAATATTCTTTGATGTCATCAGTCTAATTAATTAGAATGGTGTATGGACTATCTGTGTAACAATGATAAAAGCTTTTAATATTGATTCAATCAATTTTTCATCACTAAAATATGTATTTAGAGCAGTAATAACCATTTGAATAAGAGAGCTCCCCAAGTCACTCTACATGCAACAGTTCTATCATCACCTAATCAAGATCAATAGGCACTTGGAGCCAGTATAAAGATTTGTTAACTTCTTTACGAAAAGCCGGAGACTAACGGTGAACTGAATTGCATGTGTGCCGAATCAGTGAAAATCAATAACATTTCCATACAAAATTTCGCCTTATCATAAAACATGTTGCTTATACTACCCTCATATAAACAACCAACAAACAAAAGTATATTTTTATAAGATAAACTTAAATAATCTTAATAAAAAAAAGTCTTTTTAGCCGACGAGGAGGCGCAAAATATTAACATCGTAGCATTCTTTGGCAGCCATAATGGAATTGCCCAGACTATTCGTACTCTCATTTGGAAAAATTCTTATATTAATGGAAACTGTGCAGAAATATACTCACCATTGTTACTGTCCCGTTCATTATTTTCTGAAAGATCGTCTGGTTCACACCAATCGGTTTATGTACACTGAACTTATAGAAAATCTTACAAGAGACCACAGACAGACTAACAGCTTGAGCTACTCTCTCGCCGTATCCGGATGTTTCGCAACGCGTTGCGCAGACTACTACAGACTACTAGGCCCCATTTTAAGATCTGTTATTTTTCTAGCACAGATAACTTATAATTAATCGAATACAAATGTTATTTAAATATATTCCAATAATTTTCTGGCATGCAATTTTTTTCTCCTTAACTCTCTTAAACACTGCATTATACGTTTTTTACTTAAGTTTAAGTATTGTATTTGATCATCATAGTCATTCGAAGTTATTGTCAAGCGGCATGCTTTAGTAGGTTAGATATTCGTTACTACCGATCAGCTGTTTTCGTAGGAGAATATTCTTGCAGTTATGGAAATCGATGGTTTTCAAGTACGAATTATTAGCGAGGAAAAGGTCTGAGTTATGCACACTAATAGTATCATACTTAAAGCGTCTATACTGTATTTTACGTTGGAAATTATATATCATTGGATATTACTCTGTAGAATGCACATAGTGCACGTTTAACATATTCTTTATAATATATTAGTAATTACTATATTTATTCTTGAAGTATTATGTTGTATCCTTTATTCTCTCTGAATATACCTAATGATTGCTGAATTTTTCTTCCTCAGGGTAAAGGATTATTTGCGTTACGTCCTTATAAAGAAGGTGATGTGATATTTGAAGAGAAGCCGATAATCTGTTGTCAGTTTTCTTGGAATGCTATGTATCGCTACTTAGCTTGTGACAATTGTATGCAGCCTTTGGAAACTGCTGAAGAAAATGCACAACGATTGACTATGAAACCCGATATTATTTTACCTCATATGGAATGTTGTGAAACAAATAAAGAGTCAATTGTAGAGTGTCCAGCTTGTGGTGTTAAGTATTGCTGTACCGAGTGCCAGAATGAGGCTTTTCAAAGGTAAATATAAGGCTGATCTTGCTGTGTTTTAAATATTAAATAACATTTTATTAAAGGTACCACAGGACCCTTTGTCTTCAATCGAAGGAAAAGAATGATCAGCATCCTTTAGTCCAACTTAATGAAACTTGGAAGCAGATGCACTATCCTCCAGAGACTGCAACAATAATGCTTCTAGCAAGGATGGTTGCTTCCATAAATCAAGCAACGGATAAAGCTGCTGCTGTTTCTACCTACTCACAGTTCTGTCATCGTACAGTTAATGACACACAAGAAATTGCTCACAATCTTCTTGGAGAAAAATTTGTAGGACAGATAGACGTTCTGCGTCAGATGATGCAAAATGCCTTGGATAGCGAGTATATTCCACAGGTAATAAATTTCATGTCAGAAATTTAGTAACAATTTACAACAAATTTCTTACACAGTGGTTTACACCCGATGGTTTTCGAAGCCTTCTGGCTTTGGTTGGCACAAATGGTCAAGGAATTGGCACAAGTTCCTTCAGCCGCTGGGTGAAGAATGTTTCTGCCTTGGAGTTGCCAAAAGATGAGAGAATTCAGGTAGACAAGCTAATCGATAGGCTCTACGATGACATGGAAGAAGGTATTTATTAAAGCCTAATACAATGGGTTTATTCTGATCTCGATCATTTGCATTACAAATAATCATTTTTTTAAGTCGTTGGGTCGTTCCTGAACAATGAAGGTTCTGGCCTCTACATTCTGCAATCAGCAGCTAACCACAGCTGTGTGCCAAATGCTATTGTAGAATTTCCATACTCTAACAGCACCCTGGTGCTCAAGGCCACTCGTGATATCCACCCTGGAGAGGAAATTTGCATTGGATACCTGGACGAGTGCGCCTTGGAGCGAAGTCGACACTCTCGCCAGAAGGCTCTGAGTTCTCTATACTTGTTTTTATGCCGGTGCGACAAATGTTTGTCGCAAGTTGATGATCCTGACGTCACATCCGATGATGATCACATGTCGGATTAGGTTGTCAAGCTCCAGTAATGAACCTTTACTCTTCGGAGTATTTGTTATCTTACGACGATTGACGGTTTCAGTAACATTGACTACGACTTAGCATTTAAATCAATGGAATATTCGTATCGTGAAAAAATCTTAGGATTGAGACGATTTTTATTGAAAATGCTTCTCGACACTGATTACAAGATAATATCATGAGGACTGTCTATGGCTTAAAGATTAAGATTTGAACCTTTAGGTGGTTCACATTCAATGGAAATGGCTAAACTTCGAAAGAAGTCAAACTTCAACATTATTCAGTCCGTTCTTGAAGAATTGTATTATTATCAGAAATGAATCGCAAGAGTGCGTAGCAAACAAATACTTTATGTGTATTTAGTGTCATTAACCGTGTCCCCATATGTGAAAACTGCGTATAATCTAGAGAGCACGTTTTCGATAATCTTGCAATAATCCTATTGTAACAAGCAAGATATTCATAGTTTTATCGATATACTAATAATGGCATTGCTATAGGTATACAACAGATCGTTTATAATCAAGTATCTTTTCTTGTGCATTATAAAAGTAACAGCTGTTTACGCAATTGCATAGTAGATAGTAGGCCCGATGCATTTGTAGAGCCTTGATGTTATCAATATTTAACAAAATCGTAAAATCTGATTAAGCTTTTAGGAGTGTCGACTTATTCACTAATTGGATTGTACTAATAATCTTTATATAACTCTTCAAAGAAGAATATGGAAATTATAAATCTTACAAAGCACATTTTTCTAAAGGTCCAAGTAATACACTAATCAATTATATAATCACTGGATGGTTAGCTTTAAAAATTGCATAAACAATTAGAAAAGTTAGTCATTGGCATAAAGTTCAATGATTCATTAATATTACTAGAATTATATATATATATATATATATATATATATATATATATTTTGTAGTCTTTTTCTAATTTTATACATATTAAGTTCATCCATCACGTAACCTTTAGGAAAGTATTGCTTTGTATATTCTTAAAGTTTATTCACTGACAGTGGCTCATTGATCATATTCTGTATTAATATGGTTTAGGTAACAGTGACACTGAATACTTTTCTATGTCGTAGATTTACGAGTTCACTTCAGAACGATCCATTGTAGTTTGGAAAATAATGCCTAACAGACTGCATATTGGATCTTTCCTTAGGTGGAATCATAATTTGCAGGAGATTAAAGGGATCGTTTAAAATATAATTAGAGTTGGTAATAGATAGGAGTTGTATAATTCGGTCTTGAGAGATGCTGATCATGTGTGATATAGTAATCCTGTCTGTACGGCATTTTTATACGTAATTTGTTTGTAGTGACAATGGAAAATATATACTATATTTCATATGTAATTTACAGTTGTTATTTTTCTGTATTTTATATATTGGAATATGGATTGATTCTATTTACAATATACATACAGCAGAAGATAGTTCATAAATGTTCCACTTGTAAGGGAAGCAACATAGTCGGCTTCGATGACGAGTTTGGAAAAGTTGCTTGTAGATGGCGCCATATGTAACACAATATTGGTGGCATTTTAAGCACGTGTTATTATTTTAAGGGAACTCGAGGCGAGTTTCCTTAAAATTTAGTCGAGTCGAATATCTGAAGAAGAGGAAGATTATTTTAAAGCATTAAAATAAGTACTGATAAGAAAATGCAGTCGGACGAGGAGGAAGTTGAAGAAAAACCAATAAATTTTCATGAATTGGAATTGGATGATCGAATCCTGAAGGTATATTACATGAAATTATTCTTTTAGTATGGCAGGTTATGATGTTCACATATGAGCTTGTGTTATTTTGCACACTTTACATAGTTTGTTAATTTAGAAATAATTGATTTATTTAATAATGATAATGTTGCTCTTATGTACTTTTAGGCTATTGCCAAAATGGGCTGGTTGGAACCCACTCTTATTCAAGAGAAGACAATACCATTACTTCTCGAAGGAAAGGATGTTCTTATAAGAGCAAGAACTGGATCAGGCAAGACTGCAGCTTTTGCTATTCCAGTTATACAGAAAATTCTGACTGGAAAACAAACACAGTCTAAACAGGAAGTAAAGGGCTTAATTTTGGCACCAAGCAAAGAACTTTGTAAACAAATTCATGAGGTTCTGATTAGCTTAACAATCAAATGTTCACGAGAAGTGAAAAGTTTGGACATAAGTCCACAGGTTGATCTCAGCGTGCAAAAACCTCTTCTTGCTGAAAAGCCTGATATAATTGTTGCTACACCAGGTAGAGCGTTGCAGCATATGAAAGCGGGAAATATTAAATTAAAAAGATCTCTGGAAACACTTGTTATAGATGAAGCTGATTTGGTAATTAGTTGTATGTTTAAATGGGAGTTCACTTTAGTTAGTTTGTTAATTGTAATTTTCATAATTGTTTGCAGATTTTCTCCTTTGGATATGAAGAAGAAATAAAAAATGTTCTTCCATTTCTACCAATTGTTTATCAAGCAGCGCTTGCTTCAGCAACTCTTTCCGAAGAAGTTTTAACCTTGAAAAAACTAGTTCTACACAATCCAGCTATCTTAAAACTGGAAGAGCCTCCATTAGCTCCCCCTTCACAGCTTGCCCATTATACACTAACTGCTGAAGAGAACGACAAAGCTGCTATCTTATATGCACTTCTAAAGTTACATTTAATCAGGTAAATATAATTGTGAAGAATTCTATGCACATTTATATAACCACATTTAATTACAGGGGAAAGAGCATAATATTTGTTAATACTGTAGACAGGTGTTATAAGCTCAAATTATTCCTGGAGCAATTCGGCATTCCTACTTGTGTTCTTAATTCTGAATTACCTGCTGTCTCAAGATGTAGAGCCGTAACACAGTTTAACAGCGGAACTTACGACATAATTATAGCATCTGATGAGAAAGCTTTGGAGGAGGTATAGTAAATGAATTTTAGCCACTTGAAAAAATGAAGACAGCGTAATAGTCTCTGTTAATTATCTTTCAGCCCCATGTGGTCAAGCAAAAAAAGTCAAAGCGCAGGAAAGATAAAGAATCAGGCGTAGCACGTGGAATAGATTTCCAATTTGTATCCAACGTTATAAATTTTGACTTTCCTCTTGATGTGAATTCGTACGTTCATCGCGCTGGCAGAACAGCACGTGGAAAAAATCAAGGAACAGCTTTGAGTTTCATAGCAATGAGAGAAAGGGTATTGATGGACGAGGTGGAGAATGAATTAAAACAAAGTTATGGAAGGGAGACATTGTTCAGAACTTATCAATTTAAATTGGAAGAAGTTGAAGGATTCCGGTAACTTAATTTCTTACAATATCTGTGTAAACTGAAGTTATGGTTTAATAAAATAATTTTAATTTTTACAAGGTATCGAGCAAAAGATGCTTGGAAAGCTGTGACTAGGATAGCTGTACGAGAAGCTAGACTGAAGGAAATTAAACAGGAGGTTCTTAATTGTGAAAAATTGAAGGGTTACTTCGAAGACAATCCAAGGGATTTTCAATCCCTTCGACAAGACAAGGCTCTCCATACTGTGAGACAGCAGCCTCATCTTAAAGATGTACCGGAATACATTGTACCAGCTTCATTGAAGAGATTAGCAGGTATTGGAAAGCGGAAACGGAAATTTAACAGAGAAGCTGCATCAGCAGGAACAAGTGGAGCGAAATTAAAACAGCAGGCTAGAATGTCCAATCCTTTGATAAGTCTCAGTATACCAAAAAAAAATAAAATAAAATAAATTTTTGTACATTGCTGTAGTCTTATGTAAAATATTTTTACATTCTTAAAAAAATTGGTATGATGTGAAAATGATTGAATGAAAAAGGATATAGGCTGCTCGTGAGATTTTTATTAAAACTGTTAATTACCAATGCGTAAAAATTATGTATACAAGTAGATACCATATTTAACTAAAAAATTAGGATTTTGTTGTTCTTCTGGGCTTGAATTTTTCTCGGATAGCATCGTTCAATCCTTCCCTATTCCTGGCCAATTCGATGGCATAAAATTGTATTCTTGAAACCAAAATACTATTCTGCTCCAAATATTCCCCTCTGCAGTCTAATCTCAAAAGAGTACCGAAACTGTAATCCTCAACAATATCTTTGTACTGTTCGCAAAATGGTCTCCATTTATTCTTGCTCTCTGGTGACTTCAATTCATTCTCATCTATATGATCTACTTTGAGATCAGGAAAGACTTCACGGAAATGTTTATAAATCTGGTCATCATGTGGTGTCAATCTCAAAAGTTTTGGATCAACCGAGCAAAGAATCTAAATAATAAAATATGGATATGATAAGAAACTGTTTGATTTATATATATCAAAATATATAAACTTACATTAAAGTAAATTTCAGCATGTTCCCAGGCTTTCATTGCCCACATGGCTTCCACCGTGGCCTATAAATATATAATTACACATCATTGTAATATCGTTGGAATTTATTCAATTAAATTGAATTAAATAAATAATAATTCTTACATCATTCTCAAATTCCTCGGCAGGCCTAGTCAGCACACTGGTTCCAGCAAGTAGCTGATCTGCTGTCTAAAAGAATACAGATATTTAATTACTTGGTACATTATTAATATGATAATCAATTAACTAATATTATTATACTACGTTCAGGTTACATTAACAAGCTACAAGTTATTGAATACTAATAAATGATGAATCGTACGCATCAGTTTAATATGGTACACATGTTTATAAATTATTATACTCGGTAGTTTACATACCACGTTACCAATTCGTGCCATTTCACAATAGTTTCAATAATTAATAACGACTCTACACCTCGTATATTATTTGCAATTTCTGTAAAATGAGTGTATGGAACATTAGAGGCGGGGGGGGGGGGGGGAAAAAA